TTTGCCCTTGATTCGAAACTATCTACCAATTTGTCCCTCTTTAATTGACTACCTTGCATTTTTAATCGACTAAATGGTTGTTGGGAGATTTAATCGACTAAATCTCCCTACTTAATCGATTGAAAAATCATACTGACTTGTTTTCCTTTGTTGTCTGTTGGGAGATTTAGTCGATTAAATAGGGAGATTTAGTCGATTAAATCTCCCAACAGCCATTTTTGTCTGTTTTGGCCATTTAGTCGATTAAAAATGCAGGGTAGTCGATTAAAGAGGGGCAGATTGCTAGATAGTTTCGAATCAAGGGCAAAATGGTTATTAATTAATAAGGGGCAAAAGGGTGAAAAAGCCATAGCTTTTGTCTCTACATTTTTTTTAGAGCGTTTGGTAGGCTTTTTCACCCTTTTGCCCCTTATTAATTAATTAATTAATAAACCTGCAAATGGTAAGCTCTTTCAGCCATTAAAGATAGTATGATCATTAACAAGGTTAAACTTGCAACCTATTTTTCCTTATAATCTCTTACAATAATTTTTATTATTATTAGATCAATATTAAATCAACAATTTTCACTTGATATTATATTATAACTATTGATTTGATTATGATTCAATGATAAAAAAAGTGGTCCTAAGAAATTGTAAGATCAACCAACTAGTGTTACTATCAATGTTACTACCAATCAATTTCACCGTAAGATCGATTATGTTGATCAAATGATTATATTTATTTCAATCTTTGTATGATTATGATTTCTCATATTTAATGTGAAAGCATTAAATATGAAAAATCATAATCATACAAAGGTGAAAATAAATATAAAGTATTAAATATGAAGAATCATAATTCATAATCATACAAAGATGAAAATAAATATAACCGTTGGATCAACATAATCGATCTAACAGTGAAATTGATTGGTAGTAACATTGGTAATAACACTAGTTAATTGTTACAATATCCTTCCCCTAAGATATATATATATATATATATATATATATATATATATATATATATATATAGGTAGGATCCTTTGACAACAGTGTCAAATTTGAAGTTTGACACCTCATTTGAGAGCTATTAGATCAAAAAAGATCAATGGTGTCACATGTTTACAAATCAGAGTCATTGATCTTTTTTGATCTAACGGCTCTTGGATGAGGTGTCAAATTCCAAATTTGACATTGGTGTCAAAGGATCCTACCTCATATATATATATATATATATGGGAAAAATATTTCTCCGACAGCTTAAGACAAGTTTATCTCCGGTAACCCCAAAACTACGTCATTTTGTTTATTTATTTCCTTATATTAATTTATTTACCTTTGGATGGTTATGATTCACTTTTTCTCTCTCTTCCTTTGTCACAATTGATCCATATTTGTACGGTTATGATTCAGTGATCGGAGATAACGTTATCTCAAGCAGCTTGAAAAATGATAAGCCCTATATATATATGGGTTTGGTGTTTGTCATTTTAAACGACATAAGTTATGTCATTTTAGGAGAGAGATAGAAACAGAAAAACGGAAATCATGGGAGAGAGAAAGTGAATGATTTTTTTTAATTTAAAATTTAAATAATTTTTTTTTATGGGTTTGTCTCTCTCTTAAAATGACATAACCTTATGTCATTTAAAATGACAAACACTTTTCCCATATATATATATGTAAGGAAAAATATTTCTGCAGTTAATGCAGATAAGTTATCTGCATTTATTCTCAAAACGACGTTGTTTTGTATTGAAATCTTAAAAAATTATAAATATAAAGATTATTATAACCCTGAAATAAATTAAAATTACAAAAACACTATAATTTCCACCCAAAACAACGTCGTATTGGGCTTACTGAGATAACTTATCTGCAGTAACTGCAGAAAAAGCGAACCCATATATATATATAAGGCTTACCGTTTCTCAAGCTGTTTGAGATAATTTTATCTCCGACTTCTAAATCATAACCGTACAAAGATGGATCAATGGTGATAAAAGAAGAGAGAGAAAAATGGTATCATAATCATTCAAAGGTGAATCAATTAATATAAGAAAATAAATAAATAAAACAGCATAGTTTTGGGATGACCGGTATGTATATAGGGCTTATCGTTTCTCAAGCTGCTTGAGATAATTTTATCTCCGTCTACTATAAATCATAACCGTACAAAGAAATGGTGATGAAGGAAGAGAGAGAAAAATGGAATCATAACCATTCAAAGGTGAATCAATTAATATAAGGAAATAAACAAACAAAACGACGTAGTTTTGGGGTGACCGGAGATAGATGGAGAAATATTTTTCTCATATATATACATATGGGTTCGCTTTTTCTGCTGCAGATAAGTTATCTGCAATAAGCCCAATACGACGTCATTTTGGGGCGGAAATCATGGTGTTTTTGTAATTTTAATTTATTTCAGGGTTATAATAGTCTTTATAATTGTAATTTATTAAGATTTCAATACCAAAATGATGTCGTTTTAAAAATAAATGCAGATAACTTATCTGCATTAACTGCAAAAATATTTTTCCAGATATATATATATATGGGAAAAGTTTTTGTCATTTTAAATGACATAAAATTATGTCATTTTAAGAGAGAGATAGACACAAGAAAATATTTTTTTTAAAAAAATTGAATAAAAAAAATCACCCATTTTCTCTCCCTTGATTTCTATTCCTTGTGTCTATCTCTCTCTCAAAATGACAAACAACAAACTCATATATATATATATATATATATATATATATATATATATATGGTAAAACCATTTCTGCAGCCGCTTTACGTACAACAACGACACGTGTATGGTTATGATTCCCCACATTTAATGCTTTCATTATTTGTATGGTTATGATTCCCCATATTTAATGCTTTCAAGTATATATATGAAGAGTATTTGATTGCTACACGTACAACAGCTGCAGAAATATAAACCCATATATATATATATATATATATATATATATATAGGGAATTAATTTTCTCATTTTACATGAGAAAATTTTCTCATGCTAAACTCACAATACATGAGCGGGGTCCACAAAAAGGTGAGAAGACAAAAAAGTCAAGATGGGACCCACTCATGTATTGTGAGTGTAGCATGAGAAAGTTTTCTCCTGTAAAATGAGAAAACTATTTCTCATATATATATATATATATATATATATATATATATATATATATATATATATATAGGGTTTAGCGGATGTACAGTGACTGCATGTCTGCACCTAAGAATTGGCGCAATCATATAAAATTACGTCGTTTTATAGTGTGAAAGCATTAAATTTCGGAAATCATAACCATACAAAGGTATAAATAAATATAAAATATTAAATATGAGGAATCATAATCATACAAAGGTGAAAATAAATATAAGAGTAAATACCATTTTTTGTCCTCAACAAATTTCACGACACCCGTTTTAGTCTCTAGCAAATAAAAAGGCCCATCGTGGTCCCTAAAAAATTCAAAATGGACCCATTTTAGTTCTTTTAGGGACTAATATGGTCTTTTTTGAATTTGTGAGAGACCAAAATTTCAACTAAATGGGTCCATTTTGAATTTTTTAGGGACCACGATGGACCTTTTTATTTGCTAGGGACTAAAACGGGCGTCGTAAAATTTGCTGAGGACCAAAAATGGTATTTACTCTAAATATAATGTTTCCTTTTTGAAAGCGAACTTCCTTTTTCTCACCCAAAACGACGTAGTTTTTAAGTGAATGCTCCAATACTTATATGCAGTCACATTACAAATTATTTTGCCATATATATATGGGAAAAAAGCATCTAATGTTACTTTAGATAATTTTGTCTAATGTTCATCGAAACGACGTCATTTTGGGTTAAAAAATTAAAAAAATAGAATTATAGAGACTATTATAACCCTGAAATAAATTAAAATTACAAAGACACCATGATTTTCGCCTCAAAACGACGTCGTTTCGACGAACATTAGATAAAGTTATCTAAAGTAACTTTAGAAAAAACATACCCTATATATATAGGGGAAAGTTATACTTACAACCTATTTTCGTTTACAACTTCTTACAATCATATCTTAACCGTTGATTTCCGTCAATCAATGATTAAGATTTTTCGCAAATCAAATTTATTAATTAATTATTAATTCACAATAAATGACAATCGTTGATTGGTAGAAATCAACGTTTAAGATATGATTGTAAGAGTTTGTAAACTATTTGAGTTGTAAATATAATCCTCATATTAAGAGAGAGATAGACACAAGAGTTTTTTTTTTTATTTAAAATTTATATTAAAAAAAATTACCTACTTTCTCTCTCCCATGATTTCCATTTCTGGTGTCTATCTCTCTCTTAAAATGACATAACTTATGTCATTTAAAATGACAAATACCAAGCCGTATATATATATATATATATATATATATAAAACCTTCATGAACATGGTAGTTAAAATCAAGATTCTACCTAAAATTAGAAAGAGAATTAGAAATCATAAAACATAAAATCGTAATGTAAAAAAAAATAAAAACGTAAAAACATTTGAAATTTTGATAAAACCATTTTGATTAAAAAAAATCGTAAAATTATAAAACCGCATATTTAAATCAGAATTTTAACTGCTATGTTCATGACATCCCCATGATTTTTATTTTTATTTTTAAATCTTGAATTTTTTTTATATAATATTCCCCAGTCCAGTCACTGTTATTTATTTCGCATTCACACACCTCAATGACACTATGACAGTGCTGTCAACTTCCGTTTGACGGTTATCGTGAAGTTTAGACGCCGTTGTATGTGATAACCTAATTCTAACCCTGTCATTCCATTTCTTCAAATTGGGAATTTTGGAGGGAAATAAAATGAGAGCGAAAATCCATTGATTCTCTTATTCTTCTTCACTCTTCAGTTCCTTTTTTTCTCACAAATTGTTCTCTCCTTTTTCCCTCTCACTCCATCGATTCTCCAACAATTTCAATTCCCACAATTCTTCGATTGAATCCACCGCCATGATCGATTCCGATTCCGACACCGACAGCAATCACAAGAGACCCTTCGCACACGATCCTTTTTCATCTTCTTCCAACAAGAAGCCGGGGACCATCGCAGGTGCCTCCGTCGTTTTGAAACATTTCGAGGTCCCTCTGTTTTCAGTTACCGAAAGTGGCGTCGTTTCGCGCTGCGATTCCATGCTCCTTCATGCGGACCAGCCGTACGCGATCGGGCGGAGATCGCGCGACTGTGGATTCGTCTTCCGTGACCGCCGGGTCAGTAAGCAACACTGTCAGATCTTGTTCGACGGTTCACTCCGCAAACTCTATATTCTGAATGGGGTTTTGTTACGCAGTGATTCCACCGAAACGACGTGTCGTCTCGTTCACGAGTTCAGGAAAAGAGTGATGGCATTTCGCGACAGTAAGGTCGACGGTGTTGCGTTTCGAGAAGCTTCCAATGGTGTTTTTGTGAACGGGGTCGCGATTAGAAATGGAATTGCTGTTGAGTTATCTGCTGGAGATAAAGTCTCGCTGGTTTGTGGAAACCAGAATGGTTCTTGTGGTATTCGGAATCGGATTGGGTTTGTTGTTCAACGAATTGTTCTTGAAGGGTATGGTTATGATTTTGATGTTGATGTTGGTGGTGATGTTGAAATTGATGGGTTAACATTCTCTGGGCACTCTTCTCAAAGTGGGAAACGGAACAAGAGAGTTTTTGCTATCAAGGCTAATGTTTCAAGATATGAGCGAGTTGATGGGAGGGCGAACTTTCTTCTGGATAGGTGCAGAGACATATTGCTTAGTGATGACCCTGTGTCTTGCATTCTGCGTGCTGTTTCGGATATACAATCTGGATTTAAGTGTATGGATTCTGGTAATGCTGCTAGATTTTTGGTGGATAGTGAAGTGCAGGAGTTACCACAAAGGGTGATGGAAAATACAAGTGCTGGTCTTGTGCAGTCTATACTTTGTGAAAGTAAAGTGATGAATTTGGAGGCAAAAAGTGACATCTTTTGTCGAAAAGGGAATGTGGGAGTTGCTTGTGTGAATGCTATTGCTGATAGGAATCATCCTAATGTAATGCTGTTAGATTCTGTAGGGAAGGATAATCTTCCTTCTGATGGCAACAAGCAGGAAAAGCAAGGAGGTGTCTTTTATCCACCTCCTGGGAAGAATTTTTACCTGAATCGCCTTGAATTTCTGTGCCATGGCTCCTCGGCTCTTCATCATTCCATATCTCTCCCTGAACTTCTTTATCCTGTTGAAAGCATTTCAAGAATGTTTATTGCCACATTCACAAGTGACATAAAATGGTGTGATTACCTAAAATCTCCCAATGTATTATTTTCCTTTCTTATTATTCTTTTTCCAAAGCATTTTGCCTCTTCACTTGTGTTTCTTTTTCGTGCCTCCTTACTTGTGACTTTATGCTTGCGCTTGGCTGACAACTTCCTATGTGCATGTTCATTGTTATGCATATCTTAATATTATGCGTGAACTGCCACACTTGAATTTGTTTATATTTTACAATCCTAACTGAGGTGTCTTGTTAGGTTCTTGAAATATTGCAAGATTCCTTTTCATCTGCCAGTTACGATAGCTTGTCACAATACTGAGAGATGTTGGAGTTCAAGACCTGATGAAAGAGTATTTGTGCCTTACCAGGATTATACTAACCTAGTTGTAGTGTAAGTTCATTTTAATTTTTTTTGGAGGGGGGAATTGTAACTTGATTTATGCCCTTACTGTAGGCTACTTTATTTCTCCTCTTTGTTCATGTTCTTTCTCGTTGTGTGTTAGGCATCCTCCATTCCCTGAAACCATAGCATTTGGTAATAACCGCAAGAAACAGGGGATTGCTTGCCATCATCCTAAGTTGATTGTTCTGCAAAGAGAAGATAGTATTCGAGTTGTCATTACATCTGCAAATTTGGTGGAAAAGCAGGTATTCTATTAGCCAAACTTCTAGTTATAAACATTAATGCATAACTTTTATCTTACAAATTGAAGAGCAAAATGCTGCCTTCATAGTATGTAATTGATTAAATTGTTTATTTAGACATCAAATGCCTATTGGCCTATTGCACTAATAGGAGAAATGTTGTTTCTACCTTAGGGGTATTGTCCTTTTGAGGTCTGCTTGCTCCCAAATTCTATCAGAAGTGATGTCTGTAATAAATCCTTTTTCTAGCATGATACAAGGTTTATTGGGTCTGGTTGTGACTTAGAAATTAGAATGATGCACTTTCATGATGAAGGCATACGCGCATTCAGCCAAGAAAAGCTTACATTTGAAGAATATGTAGAATGTATATGATTACAAAGGATAAGGTTTCTGAAGTAAAGCTGTGACTGAAATTTTTCTTGGTGTATTGACTGTCCTGTATTTTCAGCATTGAATATTGAAATAGTATTTGTTTTTGGCATGTTTTCTTTTTATTTTAATATGTGAAAAACATGGCAAAACTTAATTAGACCAATCATGGGAGATAGGAAAATAAGCATAGTAAGAGAGAAAAACAGGTGTTTTGGGTGCCACAGCCACTTCACACGAATAAGTTGATTCATATGATATCTCAGTATAAAAACTTTCTAAGCTTTAGTACTTCTCTTGTAAAAATGTTTAGATGAAAGACATAAGCTACAATTGCCGGAGTCCCAAATATAAATTTTGAAGGTTATATTATAGTAGCAATATTTGTATGCAATGCTCTTTCTATGCTGATCATCTTGTAAAATTTTGTGTATATCAATTATTAAATGAGAACCTTTTATCACACGGATAGTAGGCGTATTGCTATGTTATTTTTGTACGTAATTAACTTAGAAAAACTATTGATTAATATTTATGTCTATGTAGTGGAACAGTGTGACCAACACTATATGGTGGCAAGATTTTCCTCACGCCGTTTCAGCTGATTTTGCATCACTTTTCCCAAAAATTGATGATGGTGAAATTCATAGAAACTCAAAATGTGATTTTGCTGCTCAGTTGGCTGGATTTATGGCATCTCTCATTATTGATGTACCCAGCCAGGCTAACTGGATCACTCAGCTGGCAAAATATGACTTTGGAGGTGCAACAGGTCATCTTGTTGCTTCAGTGCCTGGAATTCACTTTTATAGAACTTCTGTTCTGCCAGAATCCTTTCAGGCCTCTCCTGTAAGTACTCAAGTATTTCATGAATATTGCTGCTTAATTGAGGTGTTGACTGATTGCCCTTGCCCTTGCCTCTGCCTCTGGAGTATGTTGTTTGGATATAGACTATCATCCTTTTTGTGCTTTTCAATATTTGAAAACTGCACCTACCTTGCTTATAGTTGGGTTGGAATATTCTATCCCTAAACCTGGCTGCTTGTGGCTAAAGTGATGCTAGTAGATCAAAGTTTTCCAGTTGAATTCTAGCACTAATTATAATGTCAACCATGTAACCATTTGGTGGCTTAGTTAAAGCCACTTTCTGCTCTGGATTCTTTGACTGAAATGTATACTCTTATAGATGCTAATTTCTGTGCATTTTTGTCATATGGTTTGAAGTTTCTTGGTTCAGTTGTGGCATCTGTGGTTGGTTTGAGCCATCTTTTCTGCACTGTGGCAGACTCAAACAGTGCAAGACTAAAAGCACTGGCTGCTTTCCTCGGAAAGTCTTGTAAGAATGCTTATGGGAAGTTGGAGATTGTTTTAAGAAGAAATCCCAATGTGCCTGCTGATGAAAATGCTATTAGCGTTCTTGTTTCCAACCCTGATGGAACTTCTGAGGGAGGTAAAAGCTACATTGCCCTCTTTTTGTACCATTATATTGGATTCCCCATTCATCTCATGAATTTCAAACTTAATTTTTATTTCCATTTCCTTTTTTATGTGACTTGGACTCAGATTTTTCATGTTGTCAATAACTGTAATAATATCTGTTGCTTTTTTGTTCCTTTCTATAGATTATGTTCCGCTTGGTTTTCTGCCTAGAAATATAGCAAAATGGGTTTCTCCTCTTTGGGATGCTGGATTCTTCATGTTTTCTGGATACGTTTGTCCAAAAGAGGCCCTTGCAGCTTCCTTCGGAGAAAACTGTAAGAAAGTACAGCTGATACTGAATGTGTCAGAGGTGTGTTGGATGTGCCTTCTATAGGATGACTTGTTAGTTGCCTTGTATATGCAGCCTGATATATATATAACTTTATGTCTTATGAGCATGCAGGGGCATCATTTTCAAGATATGTCAAAGATGATGCAATCTGACCAAATTGTTGCGTTGTGCTCACTCATTGCTTCAATCCAAAGATGTTATGGCCTCTGGAGATTGCAAGAGGTAAATAGCGCCAAACCTGGAAGATCTTTTTGCATTGACTGGAAAAGTCACACCTAGTTTGATATTGAAATTAATGTTATATTTGATCTCTTTTGTAGTTTGTTGGCTCTAAGGAGTTACTTATGCCATTTTATTTGTCTCTCAAACACTCCCAATCTTCTTGCGTATGAATGACGAAGTTTCTGCTCAAATAATTTTTGAAAGATCCAATTTTAATCTCATTATCGTTCTTTTTGTGCTAGGTTCTAAATCAGTACAAATGGCCTGAATCATTAGAGTCTGATATTATATATGGTAAGTGCATTTTTTGAATATTACTGAGTACAATACCAACCCTATTTCATTACAAGCTAAAAACAACAAGCTGACCTCATTCTTTTTTTCAACCTTTTGGACCTTCTTGTTTGATACCTTTTCTGTCTATCAGGTGCGTCTTCTATTGGTTCATCTCTCAATTCAAAATTTCTTGCTGCGTTTTCGGCTGCTGCTGGGAAAAAATCATTGCAACATTTTGATTCAGAAGAGTCTGATCCTGAAGTAATTTGAAGGCTCTTCCATTATATTTGCTTGTAAAGTTTTACATCTTTTCTGTAAGATGCATGATTCGTTGAAATTCTGTTTGTTCATTAATTCAGTAATTTGTTGATGCTTTGACAGTGGGGCTGCTGGAATGCTAATGAAGAATCCAAGAATCCTTCTGTTAGAATTATTTTCCCTACTATAGAAAGAGTGAAGAATGCTTATAATGGGATTTTGCCCTCGAGACATATTCTTTGCTTCTCAGAGGTAATAGGGTTTTCTTATCAGCTTTGAATGAATAAAGTTAGATGTTGAGTCTTGGAATATACATTCCCCCCACCCCCTCTAAGGTACATTCCTTTAGTACCCTTTATTTTTATGAGGGCACCAGTTCCCTTAGTAATTAGCGGTCTATATTTTTTTCATATCGCACTTAATTGAAATATAAATACAGAAATAACCTGCTGTATTTATTTCAAATACGTAGAATAAATGAACAAATATTAACCGGTGATTGTTAAGGGATACCGGTACCCTCACAAAAAAGGTAACGAGAGAATCCTTTTCTTTAGATCATTCTGAATTATCAAGGACAGATCTCAGTCCTCTTATGTGAGTTTTTTTACATGACAATCTCATGTGGAGAGAGACACGCAAAGATCTTCCACAGCACAAAATTTGCGGATCCCTCTTTAGTGTCTTCGTGTCCATCTCTCTTAGCATGTGAAAAACGCATTTTCAAAGGGGTATTTTAAAGGAATATAGAGTCAGCCAACCCCCTCCCTCCAACCAAAAAAAAAAAGGAGAAAAAAAAATTTCAAACGGGTTTTTTAAAGGAATTATCAAAACATTAAGTTGGAAGTTTTAAGATCAAAAGAATTTTGTTCACTATTCCTTTTTTTGACATCATGCATATGAATCCCTTTTAGCTCGGAATCTTTATATTTTGTTAGTACAATGCAGAACTAATTCCCTGCTTTTGAACAGAGAACATGGCAAAGGTTGAAGACTTTAGATATACTTCATGATGCCATCCCTCATCCTCACCAAAGAATAGGGCATCCAATGCATGTCAAGGTAAACTATATACTAATTTATACTCCCGTGCTCCAAATTTTTTATGATTAAATCAACATCAATAACATCATTATCTCAAACTAGTTAGGGTTGGTGGCAGATGAATCCAAATGAAAAATACGAAAAAATTAAGGAAAAAAATAAAGGATAAAAAAATTAAAAATTTTAAAAATATATAAATAACACTAAAATTAAAAAAGCAATAAAAAATTTAAAGGAAAAATAAAATAAAACAAAGTAAAATTAAAGATAAATAAGCTGCGCAGGAAAAGCCCAAAGCCAATCCCAAGAAAAAAAAAGACAATGAATAAATAAACAAGAGAAGAAAAATAGAGAGGAAAAAAGAGAAAAAAAGGAAATGTAAAGAAAGAAATAGAAGGAGATATAGGAAAAATGATTAAAAAGGGATCATATGAAAAAAATTGATGATTAAATGTTTACGAAAAATATACTAATAAAAGTTAGTGTAAAGTTGTTCCTTTATGACTGAAATATGTTGCTCCAAATAGAAAATATGCAAGGGTAAGACTTGCAAGAATTTTCTCATCCCTACCCTCGCAAGCCAAGGTTTAATTGGGAGCTCTTTTCTTTTTTATACTCATAAAAGTTGTTGTATGTATTCTTGTCATGTTATATGAATAAAGTCCCTTGTGTAGATGAACGTAAAATCGGGTTTGAGAGAGAATCAGTACCTCCTTTTCTTTATCCTGTCTTTTCCAATCTCTAATTTTGATTGGAAAATCGGGCAACTCTTGAAGTAGTACTCTTCCCTTTTGAAAATCTGGGTAATTTTGTGTAGCAAGCTATTGAGTTGGATTTAATTGGTGATTTAAAAGTGTTCCAAATTGACAATCACAAGTGCAATCTTTCTGGCTCAGAATTTTTTGTGCAGAGTTTCCTGATCTTGTTATAATTACTTGAAAAATGGAAGGAAAATATATTATTGAATTGTGTGTTACAATTGTACAGGAGCTCTCTATTTAAAGAGATTAAATGACCTAATAGGCTAAGCCCAAAGAAGATTCTAGAATGAAAAAATAAATGAATAACTAATTACAATTACTTACAACACTTTCCTCAAGCTGAGAAATAGATATTTATCATTCCTAGCTTGCTCGTAAGCTTTTGAAACCTTTCTGAGGGAAGTCCCTTCGTCAAAATATCAGCTAATTGACGTCCAGAAGGAATGTATGAAGTGGTGATCAACCCGTTATCAAGCTTCTCTTTGATGAAATGGCGGTCGACATCAATGTGCTTAGTCCGATCATGTTGATCTGGATTATGAGGTATACAAATGGCGGACTTATTTTCACAAAGCAGCTTCATAGGTCCTTCACATCTTATTTTGAGATCATCAAGTATAATTCTCAACCACAATAATTCACAAATGCCTTGAGCCATAGCTCGAAATTCAGCCTCTGCACTTGACCTGGCAACCACATCCTGCTTCTTACTCCTCCATGTCACTAGGTTACCACAAAGAAACACAATAACCAATAGTAGATCGACGATCAGTCACAGATCCAGCATAATCAGCATCAGTATAAACTTCTAAAGAGAGATTGTCATCATGCTGGAATAATAATCCTTTATCAGGAGTGGCTTGAAGATACTGAAGAATTCTCTCCACTACCTGCATGTGTTTTTCTTTTGGATTATGCATGAACTGACTCACAATATTAACAACATAAGCTAGGTCTGGTCTAGTATGAGCCAGATATATTAGTCTCCCAACCAGCCGCTGATATTGTCCTTTATCAACTGGAGGACTCTCCTCTTCATAACCCATCTTGTGATTTTGTTTAATAGGAGTACTAGAGGATTTACACCTAAGTTTTTCTGCTTCTTTAAGAAGATCAAGGACATATTTTCTCTGATTGATAAAATTCTTTTCTTTGAATGAGCTACTTCTATTCTTAAGAAATATTTCAATCTCCCAAGGTCTTTAATTTCAAATTCAGAGTCTAATCGTGCTTGTAGAACATGTCTCTCCTCAATATCATCATTTGTTATAATAATGTCATCGACATACACAAGGAGCACAGTGAGCTTCCCATCTTTGGAGTGCTTAAAGAAAAGTGTGTGATCTCCTTGACTCTGTTTCTTAAGATCATCATAACCTTAGTAAATCTCCCAAACCAAATCAGTGTGGATTGGTTCCTCCTGTGACATACCAAATCTGGTGTCACAATCTTTTGTGTCTCTGGTGTATTTGATGGATCAGATACAAGTGTATTTGATGGATCAGACACAGGAGGAAGAGGTGTACGAGTAGACACGGAAGATCCAGACTCAAAGAAGGAAGGTGTATGAGTTTGCTGAAGAACTGCTCTCTCCCTGAAGATGAGGACCACGAAAAAAGGACTCAGATTCATGAAATGTAACATCTATAAAAACAAAAAAAATTCGACTGGCAGGATGATAACACTTGTAGCCTTTCTTATCTGAGGCATAACCAAGGAAGACACACTTAAGAGCCCTAAGATCCAACTTACTGCGATGTTATTTATAAACATAGACAAAGGTAACACACCCAAACACTCGCAACTGAAGACTCTGCATAATGGGAACAAAAAGAAAGAATGAAGTCATGGAATGAATAGGACAGGTATTGTTAAGGACCCGTGAAGGTAAACGGTTGATCAAAAAAGTTGCAATTAACATGGCTTCTCCCTAATAAGAACTAGGAACAGATGTCTGGAAAAGTAGTGCTCTAGCGACTTCAAGGAGGTGACGATTTTTTCTTTCACCAACCCCGTTTTGGTGAGGGGTATCAACACATGTGAGCTCATGAATCATACCCGTGTCTGAAATGAATTGCGCCAGACGTTGGTTGACGTACTTAGTACCATTATCAGATCTTAATCTTTGAATATTTTTACCAAACTGATTCTCGACCGTGCGATAAAATCGGATAAATATCTCTGGTACTTCAGACTTGTCTTTCATCAAGAATTTCCATGTTATCCGAGTACAACCATCAATAAAAGAAACAAACCACTTTGCATCTGAAACACTACGCACTTTAGAAGGGCCCCAAACATCAAAATGAATAAGAGAAAAAGCTTTTGATAGCACTAGAAAGAAAGGACACTCGATGGTGTTTTGTAAATTCATAAACATCCCAATGAAAGGTCTCAACTGGCTAATTTAGAATCAGAGAAGGAAACGTTGACTTCAATAGACTAAATGGTGGGTGCCCCAGACACTTGTGATGTAGTCAAATCATAGATTTTGCAGTAGAAAGATGACTTGTCATTAATAGCTGATTGTTGGTATCTTTTGTAGTATGTTTTGGAAGGAGATTATACAACCCACCCTGTTCCTCAACAACTCCAATTGCCTTCCTCGTTGTGAGATCCCGAATAACACAATGAGAAGGGAAAAAGGTTATAGAACAATTCAAATCAATTGTAAGCTTATGAATGGAGATAAGATTAGTGGAAAGTTGAAGAAAATAAAGAACATTTTAAAAAAAAAAGGAAGGTTGAATGTGAATGTTACTAGAACCAATAATTGATTTATGGGATCCATCGGCTACAGCTATAGTATGATGACAAACAGTAGGATGATAAGAAAAAAGAGACTCAGCAAGACAAGTCATATGATCAATTGCATTAGAATCCAAAATCCATGAGGTTTTAAAATCAGTGCAAGAAGCAAGAAGAGATGTAGAACGTATGTTCTTACCAGACAAGATCAAAGAACTGTCAGATGGCTTACATAGATTATCAATAGCGGCCTTAAACTTCTCCAACTCCCCTTGCCGAATATTCACATATGGAGAGACATGTGGAGGCTCTGTAACAGTCGAATCACCATCGAAATCGACCATAACACAAAGAAAAAGTAAAAAAAAAACAGCAACAAAATCAACCAAACGCACATCCAAACAACTTTCGACTCTGGCAAAGAACAGTGTTTCCGGCGATGAATAGTAACCAATGAACAGTGGCGAGGAATAGTAATACGATGAAAAGTGAGCGATGAACAATAATGTTCGTAGACCGATAGATCTGGGAAAAAAAAGAGTCAAACAAATAGGGTTCCGCTCTAAAAGCGACAGTCGCGGAAGTAGAGCCCTCAGAATCGAGAGCTCTGATACCAACTTGAAAAATGGAAGGAAAATAAATATATTATTGAATTGTGTATTACAACTGTACACGAACTCTTTATTTAAAGAGACTAAATGACCTAATGGGCTAAGCACAAAAAAAATTCTAGAATAAAAAAATAAATAAATAACTAATTACAATTATTTACAACATGATTATAGTTCATATATGCAATGAAAGCAGTCAGCATGATCCTCATGTTAGTATACAATGTAATAGTAAGTAGCACTTGCTTGCTATGGTAGCTATGATTTATCTAATTTGTAATTTATTTATTTTGTTCGGTTACATGAAGTACAGTATTTAATACGCTAGTTTTTTTTTTCTGCTTCAATAGTTATCAATTTTCTAGAGTTTCCCCGCCATTTTCTGACTTGCACAAGTGCGCGAGTTCTGTGTCTTTTTTCTCTCTAAAGATGACATGAAAACCGAGAATCCAAATCCATGGGCAGGTTTTCAAAGTACTCTTGTGTGAACTTTAGTTCATGCATATGGTTGTCACGGAGTTACTTTGGTAATCTATGCCTCATATGCTGTTCTTTATTTGGATTTGGCTTGGGCGATTAACTTCTCAATTATTTAACCTATTGTGATTTTTCCCCTACACCATAAATGTATGTTTTAAGTGCTTATATGGAAAATGTTTTGCTCAGGTGGTACGTAGACGCTTCTGGTCCAGGAGGGATGCACCTTCCATTGGTTGGGTATACTGTGGGTCTCATAATTTTAGTGCTGCTGCCTGGGGGCGACAAATTTCAAATCCGTTTGTTCCAAAGCCTGATGGACCTAGAAAAGGGGTCCCTTCTTTGAATTCTGGGCTACACATTTGCAATTATGAGCTTGGGATTATATTTACTTTTCCTCCTACAGAAAATAATGATTGTCCTAAAGTTAAAACCACAAAATTAGATGATATAATTCTGCCATTTGTTGTGCCTGCTCCTAAATATGGATCTAGAGATAGGCCAGCTACAAAGCAGGCTATGAGGGAGGTGATGGCTGAACTTGCTGAGCGAGAGAGGGAGAAAAACGCAGAAGAAGAAATGATGGAAGAGCTTCTTGAGGAAGAGGAAGAAGTGGAAGCAACAAATTATGTTGGAGAGGAGAATGAAGAGGAGAAGGCATATGCAGATATACTCTGGAGTCAGGTTGATTCTTCCCAGAACTGTTGAACTTATGCAAGAAGCAATACTGGGAGCAGGAAGCAGTGATTATGGAGCTGTCAACAGGAGTATCTGATACCCAATTGTTAAGGTGAAATGTAGGTTTAAGATGCAATGGTGACTTGGAAACTTACAGAATTTGTGGCAAATATCCAACTTGGGAGGAAGGGAAGGTTTATCCTGAGATATTAGGAAGAAGCAGCAAAGCCGTTGACCTCCCATCTAGAGAAAGTGATGAAGACTCATCATATTAATTTATAGGGAAAAGTTCACCGATGCTCACGTGGTTTGCTTCAGAATCACTTATGTCCCTGTGATTTTTTTCTTATCACATATGCCCTTGTGCTTTGTAAAAAATAAGAAACCATAGGAGTATATGTGATAAAAAACATACCCTTTTACAAACCACAAGGGCATATGTGATAAGAAAAAAAGCACAGGGGCATAAGTGATTCTGAAGTAAACCACATGGGCATCGGTGAACTTTTCCCTAATTTATATTAGGAGCAGAAAATGATATTTTCTACCTCCTGTGGTTCAGTCCATTTTAGGCATGGCGGATTATTGGTACCACTTTCTAGCCTCATGTCTCAATTCTAGTTGCTCTCAACGCCTTGTTGCTAGGATTCCATCTCCGTATGGGTTTATTAATGAAAGATACTAGGAAGACAAATGGAAGGACCTATTGTAGCATTCTTCATAGTTTACGGGATCAAATGGAGGTTTAGAAAGTGGTGGCTAGATGCAATCGCTTCAGTAGTGAAAACTGTGCAATAGCCCCAAGAAAAAAGAGAGGGAGGAACTATTGCAATTTGGTGGTGAAAATTATGTAGATGTAAAGTGATGTGTGAATAGTATATTTTTTTTCTGCTAGAGCTTGGTAATCGGCTTCGGAAACGTGCGATTGGACAAGAGTAGGCTGTTGCTACTTTTTCGATTGGGCTGTTAAAGAGATATTGGGTTTCCCTTAAGGAACCAACAGACCCATAGGCCATAGCAGCAAGCTACTCTCCGGTCCAATTGGGGCTTGAAAAATTGAACTTGCAAAATCTTTGGCAGCAGGCTACTTTGGATCAGTAAGGCTTTACATTGTGTATATATTTTAGCATTAATATTCAATTCGGAGGCATTCTTTGCAAGTAAACTGTAAAATGCTGCAACCACCTCCTGTTCAATGGGTGTCTGTCTTTATTTATGAGATAGCGGAGAGAAATAAGTGTTGATTGTTGTAGACTGCATCATGTATGATTGTATTTGTTCCAATTTTTTAAGTCAATTTTAGGTGCCTAAAGAGATACAAGAAAGTGATTAGGTGAGATATAAAAGATAGAAGAAAAAGAAAAAGAATAGCATAAATAACTACGAAGATGTAAATATCATTAATCGTATGGATATAATATCATCATATAAACAAAGTAATTGTATTATCATAAATTAGGAAACAAATATATAACAAAAATAAATTTAACCTCCACTAAAAATAAGATCACAAACTATCGGGATAGAAAAAAGTAAAGGATATCATTGTGACTTATTAAAAAGGAAAATTCAACCCCATTCAGATGAGTTATAAATTATTATAATAGAAAAGTAATAGGTACTCATAAATTAGAAAAACAATATATGATAAAATGAGAAATTTAACCTAAATAAATAGGTTACAAATTAATGATAAAAAGTAAAGGATACTATTATGTAACATAAATATATATTTTTGGGTAGAGTATAAGTGCATAACTTAAAGTTTTAACTTTCATCAATCGATTACGATTACGAACTATAAGAATAGAAAATTAATTAAAAAAAAAGAAAAAGAAAAAGAAAAGTAACGAGCACTCACGCAATAGAGTTTAACTTGTGGAATGACTAATGATATTCAGACAAGGACATTTCAAGTAACAGATGGGGAAATGCAAACTCCCAATGCTTATAGAGCGGTGTAGCGTAAGGAGGTGTCTAAATGAGTCCATTAATTTATGTGTGTGTACTGTTGCAAGAGAAATGTGATTATACCAATTGAGAAGTGATTCGATAAATAATAGACGCGTGATATGGGTTTCCACGATTACATATCATCCCCTCATCATTAGTACTAACATAAGCTCTTCTATCTTGATAATATGGGATTGATTTGATGAATGTTAAATTTGTTTATTTTTGATATATATATAGGAAAAAATATTTCTTAAGTAGCTTGAGATAAGTTTATTTCCGGCCACCTCAAAACTACGTCTTTTTTTTTTTTTTATATATTAATTGATTCATTTTTGAATGGTTATGATTCTCTTTTGAATGGTTATGATTTCCCTTTTCTCTCTCTTCCTTTATCACCGTTGATCCATCTTTGTACGGTTATGATTTAGTAGCCGGAGATAAGATTATCTCAAGTAGCTTGAGAAACGATAAGCATATATATATATATATATATATATATATATATATATATATATATATATATTAGCCTAATAATTACTTGCCTTTTTATTGTCACAAATTGCCGGTAAAAAAATAATTAAAACAAAAAAGACAAAAAAAATTAACAAATAGAAAAGCTTAACCTTGTATAATAAATAACAAATTATTAAGATAAAATCATAACCGACAAAAATATAATTTCATAAAAATAAAAAGGAAAAAACTGCACAGAAAATATAATTCACTAAAATTTAATAGGTATCCATTAGAAAACTCTGAACTACCAAATTTATAAATAGATAGATATATTTATTTGTATGTATTAGCGGAAGTGAATCGTTAAAATTATATATTATTTGGTGAGATCAGTATTGTAGCCACGTTACAACCTACAAGTGTTTTGGTACTGGCTGATTTTCAAAACCAAAAACTTTTTTTTTTATCTTCATTGCGTTCTACATACTGGTTCATAATTAATTAATTTTTTACACTAATTTTCCAATTTTTCTCTGGCTCCCCACTCGGTGTGATCCAATTATTATTACATTCATTCCCCTATTCTTATCATACGTCAGTTGGATAACGTCATAAAATTTTCAGGGAAAACTATTTTCATGTTATATGAGATAAGTTTTTTCTCTTACATACTCTTCGATAATTGTGTCACCTTTTTTCTTTTATTTTATTTTATTTTTTCAGGTGGTGGAGCCCACAAAGTTATTTATATGACATGAGATAACTATCTCTTTTAACGTAAGAATAATAAAACCCAAATTTTCAACGTGCGCGTGAATTTTGCTCAAAATAGAATTTTATAAAGTTTTCAAGTCCGAAAGTTCAACGACATAAGAAGCAAGAAGCTCTCTATCCTTTCACTTCACTTCACTTAGCTCCCCGGTCGTGCTTCGAGATCACCGAGGTACCCAATTCTATACATCCTTTGTTTGTTTCTAATATTCTCTGTGAAAGCTGATCTTCGTTTTTATTGGATGTTTTGTAGAAGACAGAAAGTTGTTTTTTCTAGAAAAAAATAATGAAGAAGTTGAAGACAAGTGATGAGTTAGTTTAGGCACCATATGTTTTACGTTAGTATTGTTTATATGCTTATATTAAAAGCATTTAACGTTGATGCATTGTCAGTGTCTCAATTATTTGTTTGGTGGTTCTTTATGAACATTATCAATTCCATGTTTTTGTATTTAACTGAGAAAAATCATGATCCAGAACTGAGCTTTTACAGATGAGTTCGAAAAGAGGAGGTGGGAGGCCTTTTACTGTGGCGAAAAATGATGATTCTTCTTCCAAAGGGAAAAGTAAATCTGTGTCTCATCCAAAAATTGAGCTATTGACTGAGGGTGTTGCTGATGTTAACCTAGACCCAGGACAAGATGATGGTGAATGGGAGGTATATGCAAGGAAATCCAAGAATAGAGCTGGAAGCAGTGCTGCAAAACCACCTGGTGCTCTGGTTCATAATTATAGTTCTGGAGTAGTTGGGAATGCAGAGATGGCTCAAAAGCCTAGCACTTGGAATAATGGAGGAGTTGGAAGGGCTTCTAGAAATACCTGGCAGACCCAAAATGATAACTTAAAGAAACCTTCTGGCAGAGGAAATGGAAGAAGACTCCAGTTAACTACAAGTGGATCTGAAGGCAACAATGTGACTTCAAATCCATTAATTCGACCTCCGCTGGAGCATGGGTGGAATTGGCAATCAAGGACTGGTTCTAAGCAGTTCAAGAGTGTTGATGATATCCAGGTGAAGGATGAAATTACAGCAGATTCCCCTGTGATGGATAATAGTATTGATGATTCTGGGGACGAGGGGTCGGAACCTATGGAGGATACTGATGATGATCTAATGAGTGATGATTATGATTCTGATACTAGTCAAAAGAGCCATGAGACTCGTACGAAGAGCAAATGGTTCAAGAAATTCTTTGAGATTTTGGATGCCCTGACTGTTGAAAAGATAAATGAACCAGAAAGGAAGTGGCACTGTCCAGCTTGTCAAGGAGGTTCTGGTGCTATTGATTGGTTCATAGGACTTCAGCCTCTGATAAATCATGCCAAAACAAAGGGGTCAATAAGGCCAAAGATCCATAGGGAGCTTGCTGAGCTCTTGGATGAGGAATTGCGCAGAAGAGGTACATCAGTAATTCCAGCCGGGGAAGTATTTGGTAAATGGAAAGGTTTAAATGATGAGGAGAAAGATCATGAAATAGTTTGGCCTCCTATGGTTATAATTCAAAATACGAAACTTGAACAGGATGAAAAGGAGAAGGTATAACTATGTTTTCTTATTTGCATCAAATGATGAATAACTGGCAATAGTATAGTTCTTATTTTGACCTCTTGTATGAATGTAGCTAAACATTCTTAATTTTCCTTAACTATCTCTGGTTTTTGTGTTAAATCCATATTTTCTTCTTTGTATTTAGTGGATAGGTATGGGTAACAAGGAGCTTCTTGATTATTTTAGTGGATATGATGCTGAGAAAGCTCGACAATCTCATGGCCCACAGGGTCATCGGGGAATGAGTGTTTTGATATTTCAACCCTCAGCTACAGGTTATTTTGAGGCCGACCGCCTGCACAAGCATTTTGCAGAGCAAGGAACTGGCCGAGATGCTTGGTTTGGTCACCGTAATTTATTTCTCCCTGGTGGCAAGCGACAGCTTTATGGATACATGGCTGTAAAAGAAGACCTGGAATTTTTCAGTAGGCATTCCCAAGGTTCGTTTTCCTCTTTCCTTTTTCAGTTCTTTTTCTTCCTCATACGCACATTGTAC